ATCAACAAAAGTAAGTATTTGTAGTCAAAACATATAAAAATATATATTGTCACCTTTTCATGCTAATATTCTGGGCCAAATCACGTCTAATCCACACATGTGTCCATTCATTTTGTCCGGGAGGGTCTAGAGAATAATTATATCCAGTTGTTTTTTCTTCAAAGTCATCCTTATAGTAGATATCCACTTGTAACGAACACATTTGAGTTTTGAAAGTTGCCCGAACAAAAATAAAACCGCGTCTTTGCGCACTGTCTGAAGACGCCATTGTTTTTTTTTACCCAGAATCACTGGGTATGTTCGTCTTCCTCTCAGTCTTCCCTTCAAAACAAGCCCTCACTCGGACTTCTCAGTGCTATGGTTTGGAAGGTAGAGTAAGTTTGAGTAAAACAAGCGCACACTAGCTTTAGCGCTCCAGTCATATAGATATCTGTGCGTCACGACAGCATTGTCTTGAGTACCATTGGCTGATTTGGATGTCAATCAAATCATCTTGTAGCCAATAATCTCAGGTTTCAGGCGATGTGTCGGACTTCAAGGTTCCTCCCACAGTTCCAGTCATATTTGAATGCGTAAGAGAGGAAGACGGAGCATTTTCACGGAGAACACGCGCTATAACTATATAAATAATAGCTTTTCTGCAAACATTTCAATATCTGGAAAAAAATGCTATTTATAGCAAGAGTAATAGCCAAAAAATGATATAATTAGATTTTTGGTGTAAAAACATTGATAATTTGCATGTAAAACACTTTTGCACAGTTGGGCACAAAAATTGACCACTTGTGCCGAATGTGCCCATTAGTTACAAAAAAGCCCCAAGCATCAAAACGGTTCCACCCAAAGGTCTAAAATTTCATACAGTTGTTGCCAACACCACAGACATCTGCTCTGGTGAGTTTTAACAACATATCATAAAGTATGTCTTCAGGAGAACCTTTTGAAATTGCCTTTTTTTTTTCGAGACAAAAAAAACTAACTTTTACTCATGTTTGAGAAGGTGTAGTGCAGATTGTGTCCTTCCTAACAAACTGTAACATACATTTCCAGAAACTAGAAGGTGTTACCTTTCAAATGAGGTCTCATAACACAAAATCAGACACAAGATGTCCACACAGTAAGCATTTCTATTTGGGTATCATAATTCGAGAAGAAACAGGCGAAATTAGATGATCCTTAAGGGGTTAAAATAGTTTCTGAAATCTGAGCTGAAGAAGGTGCTTTGATGATCAGAGCGGGATATTTCAAGGGCAGTTAAATGCAAGTTTCTTTAGCTAAATATTATGATAATTTTGACAGTTTTAATGTTTTTTATCTGCAAAATCACAACGACAACATAGCTCGTTTATATTTGGCACCAAGCTGCGTAAGTAAGTTAAAAAATATATTTATATGGCGCATTTTACAGACCAAGGTCACCCAAAGCACTTTACCATTGTTCAAAGTTCAGATATTGTTGATGTGGCTAATGTGTATGTTAGCAATGTGGCTAATGTGTATGTTAGCATTGTGGCTAATGTGTATGTTATATAGCAATGTGGCTAATGTGTATGTTAGCAATGTGGCTAATGTGTATGTTAGCAATGTGGCTAATGTGTATGTTAGCAATGTGGCTAATGTGTATGTTAGCAATGTGGCTAATGTGTATGTTAGCAATGTGGCTAATGTGTATGTTATATAGCAATGTGGCTAATGTGTATGTTAGCAATGTGGCTAATGTGTATGTTAGCAATGTGGCTAATGTGTATGTTAGCAATGTGGCTAATGTGTATGTTAGCAATGTGGCTAATGTGTATGTTAGCAATGTGGCTAATGTGTATGTTAGCAATGTGGCTAATGTGTATGTTAGCAATGTGGCTAATGTGTATGTTATATAGCAATGTGGCTAATGTGTATGTTAGCAATGTGGCTAATGTGTATGTTAGCAATGTGGCTAATGTGTATGTTATTAGCAATGTGGCTAATGTGTATGTTAGCAATGTGGCTAATGTGTATGTTAGCAATGTGGCTAATGTGTATGTTAGCAATGTGGCTAATGTGTATGTTAGCAATGTGGCTAATGTGTATGTTAGCAATGTGGCTAATGTGTATGTTAGCAATGTGGCTAATGTGTATGTTAGCAATGTGGCTAATGTGTATGTTAGCAATGTGGCTAATGTGTATGTTAGCAATGTGGCTAATGTGTATGTTAGCAATGTGGCTAATGTGTATGTTAGCAATGTGGCTAATGTGTATGTTAGCAATGTGGCTAATGTGTATGTTAGCAATGTGGCTAATGTGTATGTTAGCAATGTGGCTAATGTGTATGTTAGCAATGTGGCTAATGTGTATGTTAGCAATGTGGCTAATGTGTATGTTAGCAATGTGGCTAATGTGTATGTTAGCAATGTGGCTAATGTGTTTGTTATATAGCAATGTGGCTAATGTGTATGTTATATAGCAATGTGGCTAATGTGTATGTTAGCAATGTGGCTAATGTGTATGTTAGCAATGTGGCTAATGTGTATGTTAGCAATGTGGCTAATGTGTATGTTATATAGCAATGTGGCTAATGTGTATGTTAGCAATGTGGCTAATGTGTATGTTAGCAATGTGGCTAATGTGTATGTTATATAGCAATGTGGCTAATGTGTTTGTTATATAGCAATGTGGCTAATGTGTATGTTAGCAATGTGGCTAATGTGTATGTTATATAGCATTGTGGCTAATGTGTATGTTAGCAATGTGGCTAATGTGTATGTTATATAGCAATGTGGCTAATGTGTATGTTATATAGCATTGTGGCTAATGTGTATGTTATATAGCATTGTGGCTAATGTGTATGTTAGCAATGTGGCTAATGTGTATGTTAGCAATGTGGCTAATGTGTATGTTAGCAATGTGGCTAATGTGTATGTTAGCAATGTGGCTAATGTGTATGTTAGCAATGTGGCTAATGTGTATGTTAGCAATGTGGCTAATGTGTATGTTAGCAATGTGGCTAATGTGTATGTTAGCAATGTGGCTAATGTGTATGTTAGCAATGTGGCTAATGTGTATGTTAGCAATGTGGCTAATGTGTATGTTAGCAATGTGGCTAATGTGTATGTTATAGCAATTGTGGCTAATGTGTATGTTAGCAATGTGGCTAATGTGTATGTTATATAGCAATGTGGCTAATGTGTATGTTAGCAATGTGGCTAATGTGTATGTTATATAGCAATGTGGCTAATGTGTATGTTAGCAATGTGGCTAATGTGTATGTTAGCAATGTGGCTAATGTGTATGTTAGCAATGTGGCTAATGTGTATGTTAGCAATGTGGCTAATGTGTATGTTAGCAATGTGGCTATATGTGTATGTTAGCAATGTGGCTAATGTGTATGTTAGCATTGTGGCTAATGTGTATGTTAGCAATGTGGCTAATGTGTATGTTAGCAATGTGGCTAATGTGTATGTTAGCAATGTGGCTAATGTGTATGTTATATAGCAATGTGGCTAATGTGTATGTTAGCAATGTGGCTAATGTGTATGTTAGCAATGTGGCTAATGTGTATGTTAGGGCCAATGTGGCTAATGTGTATGTTAGCAATGTGGCTAATGTGTATGTTAGCAATGTGGCTAATGTGTATGTTAGCATGTGGCTAATGTGTATGTTAGCAATGTGGCTAATGTGTATGTTAGCAATGTGGCTAATGTGTATGTTATATAGCAATGTGGCTAATGTGTATGTTAGCAATGTGGCTAATGTGTATGTTTAGCAATGTGGCTAATGTGTATGTTAGCAATGTGGCTAATGTGTATGTTAGCAATGTGGCAATGTGAAAGATAGCAATGTGGCTATGTGTATGTTAGCAATGTGGCTAATGTGTATGTTATATAGCAATGTGGCTAATGTTGTATGTTAGCAATGTGGCTAATGTGTATGTTAGCAATGTGGCTAATGTGTATGTTAGCAATGTGGCTAATGTGTATGTTAGCAATGTGGCTAATGTGTGTATGGTTATATAGCAATGTGGCTAATGTGTATGTTAGCAATGTGGCTAATGTTGTATGTTATATGTGGCTAATGTGTATGTTAAATAGCAATGTGCTAATGTGTATGTTATATAGCAATGTGGCTAATGTGTATGTTAGCAATGTGGCTAATGTGTATGTTAGCAATGTGGCTAATGTGTATGTTAGCAATGTGGCTAATGTGTATGTTAGCAATGTGGCTAATGTGTATGTTATATAGCAATGTGGCTAATGTGTTTGTTAGCAATGTGGCTAATGTGTATGTTAGCAATGTGGCTAATGTGTATGTTAGCAATGTGGCTAATGTGTATGTTATATAGCAATTGTGGCTAATGTGTATGTTCTATAGCAATGTGGCTAATGTGTATGTTAGCAATGTGGCTAATGTGTATGTTATATAGCAATGTGGCTAATGTGTATGTTAGCAATGTGGCTAATGTGTATGTTAGCAATGTGGCTAATGTGTATGTTAGCAATGTGGCTAATGTGTATGTTATATAGCAATGTGGCTAATGTTTTGTTAGCAATGTGGCTAATGTGTATGTTAGCAATGTGGCTAATGTGTATGTTAATAGCAATGTGGCTAATGTGTATGTTTAGCAATGTGGCTAATGTGTATGTTAGCAATGTGGCTAATGTGTATGTTAGCAATGTGGCTAATGTGTATGTTATATAGCAATGTGGCTAATGTGTATGTTAGCAATGTGGCTAATGTGTATGTTAGCAATGTGGCTAATGTGTATGTTATGGGGGGAGTGGAGCCCGCTCCGACTGCGAGTTGGGGCCCGTACACATGTGAAACGAAAGGGTGGGAACAGGGGAGGGGGGCTGTGTGGTCCTTTACACAGACCCCGGAGCGTTTCCTGACCGCCGAAGTTAGGGTGACGCACACTGATATGGCCTGCGGCACCAGTCAGCACATGGAGGGCACGGCGGAGTGCGGGCACGCGCGTTGTGGTTGTAACGTACAGCTGGATAGTCGGTCAGCTCAGAAACCCAGGCAGGCCTTATGACCTGGGTCCTCCGCTATGGCTGTATCAAATGGGGCCACTTCAGACGATGAACTCTGCTCTCATTAGGGCGAGCTCCAGTGCTCTGGGGATTAGGATGTGCCAGTGTGTCTTGTGCGCGAAGTTCTCTGGGAGCCAGGGCACGAATGAACTGGTCCTGGCCGCTCACTTGTAATTCAGGGGGCATATGGGAGTAAGTCGTCGTGTCAGGGTCTCTAAAATTCGTTAGCAATGAGTTGGCTCGCCTGTCAACCTCTGTCGTAGCAGTCTGAGCGCAGGACATCGGGTTGGCTACATTGTCAAAAGCAGGAGGGCCCAACCAAAAGCCCGATACTATCTCCTTAAGCTGGGTTAACAGCAATAAGCATGACAGGGCATCATAGTAAGGCACAGAGCCAGTGGAGTGCTATTATTTTTACAGGACCAGCAGTGCCGCCAACAGTTCAAATTGGGCATAGAGGGCCTCCAGTTGCTTTCCCTGATATTTCGAGTCTTAATTGCATTCGTTCCCTGACGCATTATAGTTGAATTTGTGATTGTCAATCATGGCGGGGGGTTGTCCTTGGCGTCCGCCGTGAAAGCTCCGCTGCCCTCTCGCGGTACCCGTACTAATATGAGCAGAGTGCTCAGAAGTGATTTGTCATAACGTGCTAAGGGATGGGTTCAACTTCACTGTCCATTCACCTACTATTGTTTTCGGGTGCGAGACGGATATCGATGCAATCTCCCCCCCCCCCCCCCCCCCCCCCCAAAAAACAAACTGGCGGACGAGAGACGACACAAGCTAGGAGCGATCAGGCTTTGGAGGCGAACTCGGGGATTTTTCTTCTGACCCATTAGTAACGTCTGGCTCGATGTAATGAATGAGACAGTTGTTTCATGTTGCTTTAATACAAGTGGTTGATGTCGGCCGTAAACGCCAAAAACAGTCACAATTATCAGAACAACAGCCGGTTCGAGTCGGTTGTAAAAAGACATGCGTTATCAAACAATATTCACCCCCCCCAGTAGGCCCGCCTCATCTCGAACCAATCTGTAAGTGCACTAAAACGTGAGAATAACAAGAATTACAGCATTAAATAACATAAAAGCAGGGTCGCTACATACTTTCCAGAAACTATAAGGTGTTACTATCTAATGAGGCATCATAACACAAACATCAGACACAGATGGCAACAATAAGCATTTCCATTTTGGTTCATATATGAAAAGGAACAGGCGAAATTAGGTGCTCATAAAGTGTTAGACAGGTTTTCTAACCACACACTGTGAACTGTGATTTCTAATGCGTTCTTTTTTTTACATTTCAGGACTTTATTTTATCAACATCCATCATATATCTATAATATATTATATTATATTGTTATTGGTTATGGGAAGTGATTTGTGAGCAGGGTGCAATACAATACTTTATAAACCTCTTTCTTTACTAGGTATTATTCTTGATGGCAAAGAGGGCAATGTTTTCTTAAAAAAATAATTATCATTGATTTAAAGTAACCTTGCCTGCACGCTGAATTCTCGCGTATTTGTGTGTTAAAAACACTCGAGAATATTCTTGTTAGCTCGCTTCACTTTCGGTCGAAACCGGGGTGTGCTAGCCCAATCCGCGCGTCTGGGGGTATAGGGCGGGATATCGGGTTGACGAAAGCATGAAGTGCGGGCCGAAGCAAAAAACATGTACGCAGGAGGGACGGAGCAAAGTCAGATTTAGCGAAATCTCCAATTTTTTTTTGAAAGAAGACATGTGAGGCGTCTATGTACATTTCTGACGGCAAACTTGGTAGGCGGGCACACAGCGTACTTCGCCCATCAGCTTCACAGTATTCTGCTGTTACCCTCCTTACGAAAGGATTCTCCGGGAGAAATCAATTGATATGCGGAGAGCGTAAGAGTTTATAAAATCATCAATTGGCTTTTGCCAGCGTTAGATTTAAAGTACTAATTACCAATAGAGATTCTCAGTGCGTCCGATGCCTCGAACTCAGCGGGGCATCGCCATACTGGAGGACAAGCAAACGGAGGTATGATAGTGGGTGCCCGGTACAGCATAAACATGTTCAACTTTGACGTTATTTTGGCTGCAGCAAAAAGGATGGAGACGGGGAAAATACGTTGTGTACCGGATGCCACCGCCCCATCCTTATTCAAGGTTCAAAAACAGAAGAACTTTAAAGAAACGAGAGAAAATGGCACACATATATCGCAACAGCAAAAAACTAAACGTCCACCAGGGCCCGAATATTTTCGTTATCATATCATTTTGTTAAGAAAATCATTTGATGAGGATTTAGTGTTAATCCGAAAACTAAAAGAAGTTTACGGATAAAACATCACAGTTGACTGCAACGTGGGATGCTCATGACTGTAGCTTAGTTGTAGCTAGACTTTGATAGCTTGTAGCATAGACTGTAGCTTAGCTTGTAGCTAGTCTGTAGCTTTGCTTGTAGTAGCTGTAGCTTAGTTGTAGCATAGGGGGATGTCGCTTAGTTGTATCATAGTGTTCCAAGGGTATTGACTTACGAAGGCCAGCATACATGGTGAAGACAGAGCCGTGCTCAGGTTGCCGTGCTAGTATATTATTAATAAAATATACGGTCCTCACAAGTAGACGCAGAAAAGCACCATTGATTTGATGTAATACCTATTTCCATGCGTTTGTATCACACATAGATTAAGGTTTAACAATCAACAATAAATTTAAATCGAAGAATACATATAATATACAATTCTAAACACGTGCACAGAGGTTTTCAGAATTTTCCGTTCATGAAAAAATCAGTTATAATGGACAATTAAGCGACCGCGGTATCATGGATGTACGATAAAAATAAATAAAAATTTGTATGACAATTTTCAGCGTATTGATTCATGAATTTTGGTTGAGTATATATTTAGGGTCACTAACTTGTGAAGGTACAAATGCTATGTTCAGTTTCATGAGTTCGAGAGATTCAAGATTTGAACGAAGTTTATAGATATGTAGCCTGGCTGTTACTCGCCGAGGTTGTCCTCAGTATGTGACGTGGCTGCTGATTCACTGTGACGTGGATTCTATCACAGAATAAATCATATGCATTGTGTAAGACGGAGTCTTTTCCACGAGAAATATATACAAGGTGGTATTAATTATGGCTTTTTTTTCCTCTTTTTTTAAGTTGTAGTGGTGAGTAAAGTTAGAGCCAACGATGGTTTTAACACTACGCGAATTTATATGCATGTTAACAGTTCAAACGTTAATATTATACTACATTGATTAATTTATAAAATTTTTCCATTACCTTAAACGGTGACGTGAAGTTGTGGGAGTAAATATACAATATGAACAAACCATCGAAAACAACGGCGAAAAACGAGCGCTTGTGATGGGTCAGATTCATTTGCATTCTGGTTTTGGTACCATGTTTACCCGATGGGGTATTAACTATGAAAAGTCCCAAAACCACATTTTAAACCAATAAATTTACAATATATAAATTATAGTATTTTTTTTACAAGTGATCTTGAACAACTCATTACTTAATCTTTTAAATTGGGGTTCTCATTTAACACAGAACATAGTGTGGTCTACCTGTTGAACTAGTGGTACGTCTCTTTATAAATCCATCTTTAAGGAAGTCTCTAAACTGGGATGTTTTAAAGAAATGCGACGTTTAATACATGATCTGGCTTAATTTGTATGTGGATAGCCATGTTCTTGCCGGTTTTTCTAGAGGCTGCATAGGATTGTGAAATAAGAAAATTTTTTTGGCTTTTATCGATGGGGTGTATTGAGAGAAGTATAGGCAGGTTGTTGGTCGATGACACATACCGTAAGACAGGTGAATTAGCTGATTTATAAACATTGTGCAGTAATAGTTAACAAAAGGGTAAGATATTAAGGGAAACGTAGTTAAAACATTGCAAGGTTATTGTAAGAAAGTTAAAACCTTTTGCTTACGTGTTGGTGATGGATACCAACGACTGCATTATTTAAGTGTAATTTAAAATTTAACCTGGAACTCGGAGAACCAGATGGCGGTGTTTGCACCGAATGTGAAACTATTGCATTTGGGAAACTGAGCATAGGTATATATTGCAAGATAATGACATATGCAGCAAGCCATTCGTTAGCAACATATATAATACATAACTAAAGAACTTGGTTTTATTTGCTGCAAAGATAGGACTAGTGGACTCTAAAATCAGATGATGTAGCAGTTAGAGCAATCACAGAAACATAAAAGTAGCTTGATATAGCCATCCATAGACCCATTGACCTTCATTACTCAACAAGAAGCTAATTAAATTCTAATTGGAATTATAATTTTTTGGATCGTAAGACCTCTTAACTTTCACCAGTTCACACACGCATACAGACATCAAACTCATTCATAGTGTTATTAAAAAGAACGGTTGAAATAGTGTTATTTATATTTCTCAGATATGTTTAGTCTTATTTTAGGGGTTAGATACAAGCAAACCATCTTGTATTCAATGATAACATGTGGCTAAAGAATTTTGTTTATATCCCAGATTGTAGTCTCCCATCCTGTGTGCGTCCAGCCGTTTCACAGCATCGTGGAGAGAGTTGTGAGTAACGCCAAAGCAAAAAATCAGTCCCACGGCTCCTCCCTTCGGTTTGACAGAGGACTTCAAACGCCGGTCAGGACCATTTCAGCTTTTGTCCGAGACCTTTACAGAGCGAGGCGAGATCGAGCGCGAGCTGCTCCTGCCGTGGAGCTGTTCCCGTCACACATCAGGGATAAGTTTTACCAGTAGCTCGGATTAGCTTTGAACAGGGATCTGCTATCTACCAAATCGGCAGTAGGACGGAGACGCTGAAACCGGTGGATGAGCCCAACTCAAGTCCAAACATCAGTTACAAAACAGATATTACAGATGATTAGATATCTCCATCCAAGAATAAGAAGTCTTTTTTGATGCTACTTATTTCGTTAAGTCATCTTTGTCTTTTTATGCTTAATTTATTGATTAATATTTATGCAAATGCTATAGATTTTTAATTGTAATTCTGCAAAGTTGGAGATTTTATTATTTTAAATCTAGAGAAATTCAATGGTATCTGATTCTGTGTGACTTTGATTCTACTAATCTTTAACTGGTGATAGCACACTTACATTTCCCGACGCTGGGACAAATAAAGAGTCAAAAATCCGTCTAGGTGGGAGGGATTAAAAGAGTTCCGTCTAGGTGATTTCCGTCAAATGAAATTGGTCTGGAAAAAAATATATATATATATATATAATGATAATAATACACACAATGAAATGATTGATTATAAAAATAATATATAGTAATACATATACGTGTGAATCTGTTATATATATATCGATGTATAATAATAATTTGAATATAATTGTATTTATAAGTATATAGAAATAATAAGTAATATAATCACGAGTGGGCCTTGAACGTGCCGTGGCCACGTGAGCGCGTCCGCAAATGAATCAAGGCAATGGGACGTAGCTGAGCTCACGCGCAAATGAAGACGCGATGAAGTTAGCATTGGTAACATAGCGGAGGTGAAACGTTTCTGGAAACTGCACGGAGCTTTTGAAAAGGAGAAGAGGAGGAAAATTGAATTCTTTGAACGGAGCAATAACAGCAGCAGATCTAAACTGGGCGCGTAATAGACGAAAGGTAATTAACGGCAATGCTATTTTACTTAACGGAATGTACAAAACGTTTGCTGCACCAAACATGTCTTGGAGCTTGTTTTGCGATCTTCTTGCAAAACTCAGCCAAAAGAGCTCCATTGTGCGTACTTTGCCATAAAAAATTGCATGTATGGGAAGGGGCGTACGGGCATGCCCATATTTGGGCCGGTCTGTCTGCCTCATACAAAACACATGTTTGTGAAAAGTGTAAATCCGTTGAGAAAGTTTGAGGGGAGCGCGCGTGTCCGCGGGGCACCTGCTGTATGTACTGGAACGGGATTCCACCACCTCAGCGGCCGCAGTGTTCCCGCATCCAGCGGCTCTGAGCTGGACGCAGGAACCGCTCACAACACAACACGGTGAGCGCGTAGCCGCAACGTGACCATGTACCCAAGACCATAAACGCGCACAGGACCATGCGTGTCTTTTCGTAATTTGTGCACCCAATAAATACACCGCTGCAGGAAACAGTCCGCGTCTCCCCTCTCCTCTCGAAGTGCGACTAAATTAAAGCTCGGGTGCCTAAATTTTCCATTGCATTAAAAGTTCATGTTTGAGCCCAAAAGTAAAATGTTTTGAAAAAATTAAACAGATTTAGAGCCAGCTAATGGCTGACATTATGCATTTCAGAAATGTTTTGACCAATTCTCATCCCTGTAACAAACAACAGTATTGTCTGTGTCCACCTCCCTCACTCTGAGACATGTTTATTACTCTGTTTAATGTAGACTATTGCACTTTATTTTTTTGTTGAAACTGTAGACATCCTGATGCTCTACAGTATTTGCTTCCACATACTGTATAAACCAGGGGTCGGCAACCTTTAGTGCTCCTCCAGTGGCTCCTGGAGCCTTTTCAAAAAATGGAAAATGTGTGAGGGCTATATTTTATTCCTAGTTTGAATGTGGTTTCTGTAGGAGGAAAAACATTCCTAACGTATTTCAATGCTGTAAAAATGTGTATAAGTAATATTCAATTTCAACATTTCTGTCAACGTAGTGAGTCATATCCTGTGGCGCGGCCCCGCGGCAGACGGCCGCTGCTGTAAACAAACCGACGTGTGGCACGGATCCCAAAGATAAAAAGAGAACGAGTCGATAATAAGACTGGACTAAGAACAAGACTGAACATTTGCTTTCAGTCAATGAGGAAGGACTGCTTCAAGTTTGCGATGTAATAGGAAGTTTTGTTGCAACACGAGGAACAATGAAGCACTAAATACCGTTCACAGGGATTACGTGAAGGATTCTTTCATACAAAATCCAGAGCACCTTTTTCAGACTTCAAAAACTCCGCAAAGACTGTGAAAGAAAAGGCCATTAAGGACATTCAGCTCCAGCAAACTTCAGCCTGTGACGTAATCGATATGAGTGGACAGTGCAGGTGTGTGACCTTTGAGCCAAAAAGCAGATTTATTTACTGTATTTCTACAGTTGCATGAAGGCAAAAAAATGGAAGTCAAAGTTAAAGCAGAGTCATCACGTGGTGCGTCATTCTCTCCCAGGACACGCTGCAGTGAAAACACACATTTGATAATCATGAATGCTATCCATGTATTTGTAGCCTTTACTTGGTCATTTAGATATTAGGCTAATGTAGCTATGTAGCTACATTGTGTAACCTTCATATAAGTTTTATACAAGGCTGTTATTTTTTTGCGGCTCCAGACAGATGTTTTTAGTATTTTTTGTCAAATATGGCTCTTTGAACCTTTTGAGTTGCCGATCCCTGGTATAAACAAACTGTAAAAAACGTGACAAAAACATGCCTGGGCCGGTAAAAAATGCCTGGGCCGTCCAGCCCTGTAGAAATGAAAAAAAGTTTTGAAAAAATGCCCGGGCCGTTTTTTTGTCCCAGTCCAGTGGCCGCATGGAAAATAACGTTCAGAATATCACTACCGCTGGTAGATTTATTTAAATCATTTGCAGTTGATCGAAGTGCACTGTGCACTCAAACTTGATAGGGAAACCTTTTTCTTAAATATTGACGTGTCCACAAACAAATGTGGACAGAATTTGATCGTACTTTTGCAATATTTTGACGAGGACAGAGCCAAAGTGTTGACGCTCCATATCGCCTCAAGTAAAGCTACTCTCACTAATATTCTGTCAAAAAGTTTACTCGTTGCTTGATCCACTTATATTTCATATCAAAATACACTGTATATCTTTGAAGAATTCATTTGAGCTGTATTCAATATACAATCTATTATACAATAATATATTGTAATTACAAATATAACTTGGTCCTGCATATTACTGTGATTTACATGTGATAAATTTCCATGCAAAAATTTTCAGTCAAATCTTTTTTTTTTGCTTTAACCCCTGAGATAGATATATAGATACAGTAGATACATAGATACAGTAGATAGATAGATACAGTAGATATATAGATACAGTAGATAGATACAGTAGATACAGTGGATAGATACAGTAGATACAGTAGACAGATACAGTAGATACAGTAGACAGATAGATACAGTAGATAGAAACAGTAGATAAATAGATACAGTAGATATATAGATACAGTAGATAGATAGTGTATTATGTAATAAATAATATAGGGTAATGTTTTTGTAGTGCACAGATTCTTAGTTAAGAGTGAAAAGCTCTTTTATGTTTTTATATATTTTTTTTTTTAAGAAGAACAAGTCTCTTCTGACCGTGGACATTACTCGCTCCACCTTTGTCTGATGATGATGTGTGCGTAAGTCACCCTTTCATCTCTGCAGTGTATTCATCTGAAGAATGAAGTGCTGACCCTGACCCTGACACTAAAACATACTGTTCATAATGTTCTGCCTTAACATGTCTCTGCACAACGTTTGGGAAAATGTTTTAGCCGTTAACCCTCTAGAGTCTAAACCAGGGGTCCCCAGATCTTGGGCTTCTTGGGCTTTAAGAGCACTGGTCCGATCACCACCCATGTCTTTTTAGTCCAAATAACTCACATTCTATATTTCACCAGTCTGACAGGGACAACACGGATCTAAATTTGTCCTTGGGGGGCCTCCGTAGATTCCCACATACCATTTATCTGCAGGTCAGCGGTGAGCCTGAGCAGTCTGAGTTATGAGTGCCCTTGTCCATAAAGTGCTCTAGGCCCAGACTCAGATAACATGTAAAGTCCTGGGATAGCGACCGCCACCGGCATAAAAGGACTGTATTCTGGAGCCGGGAGACAGCAAACCGGTTTACTAAACAGATTTATCCACTGCTTTGGTAATGGGGAACCACATAGGAACCACTTGTCATGAAAATTGGACACGGTGACAAGAAAATATGGGATGCAAATTGGCTTGTCAGAGACGACGGCAATTTTCCGTGGCATTAGCACGCAAAGCATTTTAAAAGTGATGCAATTTTGCGACACGCCACCGGAAAACAACCGCTCTTTGCTAAAAAAAAAAAAGGTAAGAATGAAGAAAACAGCCGCATGAAATGTCAGCGAGCATGAGCGAGCAGGTGATGACTTCAGATGTGTCTTTTCATGCATGCTCTGAAAGACTCTGAAGTCCCAGTGACTCAGACCATGCTCAAAAACAAACAATTTGGTGTTATAACCTTAAACATTAAAGTAGCAATAGGTTTTCATTAAAGGGCCCTAATCTGGTATAATAATAATAAAACATATTCTTTATCGCGGGGGCAGCAGTCTAAGCAGAGACGCCCAGACTTCCCTATCCACACATACTTCCTCCAGCTCGTCCGGGGGGACCCCAAGGCGTTCCCAGGCCAGCTGAGAGACATAGTCCCTCTGTGTCCTGGGTCTTCCCCGGGGCTTTATCCCGGTGGGATGTGCCCGGAACACCTCCCCAGGGAGGCGTCCAGGAGGCATCCGGAACAGATGAACCACCTCAACTGGTGCCTTTTGATGTGGAGAAGCAGCGGCTCTACTCCGAGCTCCTCCCGTGTGACTGAGCTCCTCACCCTATCTCTAAGGGAGCAGCCACTCTGCGGAGGAAGCTCATTTCGACCGCTTGTATCCGCGATCTCGTTCTTTCGGTCATTACCCAAAGTTCATGACCATAGGTGAGGGAGGGAACGAAGATTGACCGGTAAATTGAGAGCTTTGCCTTTCGGCTCAGCTCCCGCTTTA